GAGCAGCTTGTCCCAGTGTTTGACCGCTCTCATGTTTTCCTTGTATCTAATCGAAACTTCCCTTGATGCACAACCTGTGGCTGCTGTCTTTCATCCTTCCGCTGCACGTCTCCGCAAGTGGCTGCTTCTGCCTTCTCCGTACCTCCCAGCAGCTGAAGACAGCAATTAGATTCCCGCCCGCCCCAGCCTTCTCCAGATTGCGCAGCAACCACCTCAGCTCTCCCGCCTTCGCCTGCTGTGACCTGAGTTGAGAAAACTGATGGAAAGCACTCTGTACCAGTGTAAATTCTAGAAGCAGACTGCAAATTAAAATCAACTGCAAATGAAGGTAGTACACAAGTCCAAAAAAACCCCTGCTCTAAGCATAGTAACCTCTGCTCAGTAAGCATACCAGAATACCTTTCTGTGAAGTCTGTTTTGAAAAAAAGAACGTGCAACAGTTAAGGAAAGAGAGCTGCAAAATACGCTGCGGTCATTAAGGAAATCACCAAACTGATTTCATCAGTTGACCCTTTAAAAAAAAAAAAAAAAAAAGGTTATTTTTCAGCAGCAGTATGAAAATGCTCATGAAACAGCTTTCCTACATTTTCTGATACTGATAACTCGGTACAGTTAGGGAAATCTGAAAAAAAAAAAACAAAAACCAGTCTTTATTTCAGTTTCTTCACTATTTTGCTATGCTCTCTTACTTCCAGGAGCAAATAAGCAATAAAAGAGAGTTCTAAGCGTCAAAATGCCTCTGCTATGTAATGAAAGCTGGCAGGAGGCCGAACTAGATGACCTCCAGAGGTCCCTTCAAACCCCAATTTTTCTATGATTCTATGATCTATAATACATGAAGACTAAAATTAAGTATATGTGACAGTAAGTATTGTTTTGACAAAGTTTACCCCATTCACAGAGACATTTTGTGAGGTAACAGTATACCTGCTAGAGTATATCTACTCTAAAGAAAAAAGGAAGAACATAGTCTGAGGAAATTAACTTTCTCCCCTCCAGCCATCTTCAATTTTTCTTCAAATTTGTAATTATCTCCTTGAAAGCAGGAGAAAACTCACTTCTTACGTAAGCTGATTATCACAAGGATTGCTTCTACAGTAGTACTCCAGTACCCACTTACATTTTAAGAAAATCTGCATCACATTATTTATCTCATGATGGTACAATATTCTCTATCAGAGAAGAAACTGAAAAACCATAACTGGAGGGAAAGATGAGCTTAATCTTAAAATGGACACAAGAAATTTATCTAGAAAACAGATAATATTCTGATAAATTGATATATTGGAAGTCAAATGTACTGTAAAATGCTGAATTAATATTTCACATTAATTATTTATTTCACATAGTCCTAACTGATTAGTTTTATATATTGCTTAATAGCCAGTGATGCCACTTTTTAAAATAAAAAAGATGCTGTTTTTAATATGAAATTTTCTCTAAGAAGAACAGAAGGATAACACACTTAGTCTTTCTTGCTTTTTTCCCCCACTTTACTCTCGATGGTTATCCAGCTACTACTTTGTGGATGCTAAGCAAAAATCTGGGAAGCATTCAGAAAGCTAATTAAATGCAATTATGAGGGATAAATAAAACATATGACCCAGTACCCTCAGAATCTGCCAACCTGGTAAAGAGAATACTTCCCAGAACCCAGTTAGGATGGGAAAGGAATTAAAATTTAAAGCGGGAAGGGTCTTGAGATCTTTCTTAAAAAAAAATAAAAATAAAGGCTAAATAAAAGCAAAGCAATATATTTACAATCTTGTATTTCTCTATAATCAGATTAAAATAGCATTAAGAAATAAGTGTAGGGTTGTAGTTTTTGTATTAAATAATAGATTTTTTTAATTATTACAAGAAAAAAAAATCTTTCAACATTTGAATTGAACATCGGACCACGGGAAATTCTGATTTTCCACTGTCCATCATGAAAACTTTCCGTTTGCCATCACTCAGCTATAACGCAGCAAACACTTAAGAGCCTGGTAGCCTGGCAAGATGTACTGCAAAGTCTGTCTTTTACTTAATGACAAAGTAAACTGAGACAGAAGGAAGTCTAGGCCTGATTCTAGATATCTGCTGAAGTTTGGGGCTTTAAGCAATGCTAAGATTTGAGGGACCTTCTTTTGTACCATTTTTAGTATCTTTTAAAGCTTCCAAATACTGGAATAAACATTTCCATATTTATGTTCATAAATCTTAATAACTAAATACAAAGCACATTTCTATTACTCATTATATGCACTGTAATGCAGGCATTGGGCTGCCCTTCCATCCAAGGCATGGGAGGGGAACACACATTTGGGGCATCAGATCGAGGGCCGTGCTGAGCTCCGTGCGCTTGCTCTCGCTCCTCTGTGCGCAGGGACCCCCCAGGTAACCCACCTTCTGGTTCCCCTGGTTCAGCAGCCTTCCCCCCCCCTCCCAGCACCCCGTCTCTGGGCCAGACACGGCTCCTCAGGGGACCACGAACAACCATCCATAAACGCTACAGGCCGTGACAGAGCAACAGAGATGTCACGGCACAGATGCGTTTACTAATCAGGTGTTTCAGTGTGCAATTGGGTGTAGGCTAACGTTTGGTTTCTGTATATTGATTTTCCTGCCCCTAGGTTGAAAATAAAGGCTGTATGGCCACAGGACACCGACAACAATAAAGTCTACTTCTTTAGTGCTTATCATCTAAAAGGATCTCTTAAAATACAAATCTGGGAAGATAATATCACATTTAAAACATACAAAAAGGCATTCATTTACTCTAGATTTGTTTTCTAACTCTAGCAATGCCTTTATTTATTGTTTTTAACCTGCAGCTTGATACTTTGGTGATAACAGCCTGAATGAATAAGCAGGTGGTAGCGTGGCACTGTTACTTAACAAATTACAGGTGCAATTGAACTAGAATTCCAAAACATGTGTCGCTTAATTCTTATTCTGAGCCAGTAGGTCCAATTTTCCTATTTCACTCACAACCACAAAAAGTCAAAAGCTATTTTAGTCAAAACATCTTTTGATGTTTAACATCTTGGTTAAAATATCTTTCATATTAACATTAATGGGAAACATTTAAAATATTATCTTGATTCCTTTCTAAACTGTTCATACTGCATTTCAGACTACCAATTTACAGTTACAAAGACAAGCTGAGGTTATTAGTTAGATCTACTAGGTTTTAGCCAGGGAAACTAATAAACTGTGTAGATTATTACAAAAAGAAGACTAATGACATAAAGAAAACACACACATGCTACAGAGGATCACTTATGCCCAGGAACAACCTTTGATTAACTTGTAGTATTTACAGTAACCTAATAAATCAATGCTCGCTGAAATTACTTCATTCATTTTAACCATACATCTAAACCTAAGCAAACTCGCCCCACCTCCAAGTACAAAACTGCCTATGGATCAGTACCTCAAAGCAAAAAATACAGAGAAAATACATGGAAATCTTAAAAGAATTACCACTAGGGACTTATGAGAAAGCACTAGCTACTCACACCACAAGAACCTGTACTAGTCTGGAGTAAAACATGAGAAAAACAGTGTGATGTATCATGCACCAAAGATGCAATTGCTTATGTGTGTCAAATTGTATATGTTAGCAAATATTAATATTTTAGTTTGTTGTGGCATCTGGCAATTTCCACAAAAAATTATAGACTCTTCATATAAAAATGAATTCATGGCAATTACTCCTGCACATGAAAATAACACAACTCCTCCAAAATTAAAATTGATTATTGTATGAGTTTGCCAAGGAAAAAAAAAAATCCAGAAGATAATCACAAGTTCCATAAATTTAGTGACTTAGACCACTCACCTTTCTTGACATATAGTAATATAGAATATATGTTCCAATTTTTCATTTCTCATATTTTACTACATATTCTTGTGTGCCTGTTGCACATTAATGAAATATTACTCTACGAATATGAAATATTACTATCAGAACGTACTTAATTCTATGGGGACTGCTTTGCTAGACACATATCATGAGAACAAAAATTAGAGTCACATTCAAAACAATTTCAAGAATCACTGAACATTTTACGTTACAAGCTAAAGATCTCCAGCACCACAAAACAATATTGCATTAACATGATCAGAGGCCCTGATTCTACACATCAAATACAAAACTGACTAAAAGCCAAAAGTGCAGAACAACTCAAAACCAGAACTAAGACGCAAACAATTATAAAAACAAAACCCTGGGTCTGGTATTATCACTGAGATAACAGGCAAGAAAGTCAAGTCGATGGATCTTTCTCCTCTTTTGACCTTTTGCCCATAAAGCTGGCAAATCCTTCCATCATATGGAAAGCACTTTGATGAAAACATGAGTTTAATTCATGAAATATCATTCATGAATGGCAGCAATATGCATGATCAATTACAACGCAAATATATCAGGAACAGTGTTGAACAAGCAGAACTCTAGGTTTTTTAAGTCTCATTTTTCCAAGGAACATCATTTCCTTTTTCCAGAAAGCATGACTTAAAAGAAAAAGTTAAAAGTCTATAGCTTAAAGTCCTCTTAGTACTGATAATTTACAATCAAAGATTTTGTAAATTTATTTCCAACTGCATTTCTTTAACTTAAGTTACATGATTTAGATAATCTTATAAAGTCGCCTTACAAGCAGCAGGCCTGAACTATCAAACAGTGTTCTTAAAAGAAATGCTACCAAAAACTGATGCAAGAAAAAAGTTATCACGACCTATACTGTGCTTTGCTACTCCCGCCATGTTTTTTTTTTAAATCTTTATTGCTTGTATGTAGTTTCCTTTTCAAATGTTTTCCTCCAAATGCTCCTTGTAAAGCAAATTAGTAATTATGGTGATATGAACAGACTTTGTATAGTTTAAGACTATAGAGTACTTCACTAACTGGATCTAGCTCTTTAGAAAGAGCAGAGGATAGAAGAGACACAAAGCAAAACAATAAATGGAAGTTCTTACATTTAATTATTTATTCCTTCTCTACATATTTCCAGGAACCCTCACACGCTGCTTATATATGGACAATGTCATCCTAAGTGGAAGATGTATAACAAGAACATGGAAAAAGATACCTCAACATCTTTGGCAGCAGTCCTACAAATTATGTTGAGAGAAGTCAACAGAAATAAATAATTACTTACTGCAAGGGTTACGAAGGCCCAGAGGAAAAAAATCTTGAAAATTTTCAGAGAAAATGAGGCTATGGAAAAAAAGAATTCTTAGGAGAAAGCTGAAGTGAAGCTTTCATGCAGACTACTTTCTTTCAGAATGCACACTGAAATAATTTCTAGTGTATTGTTTAAAATTATTTTATTAACACTCTCTTTCAGAACGCCTTCTGTAGTTAATAAGTACTTCCAATGAATCACAGAAAAACACGAGCTGGAAGAGAAGGCATCCAGTTCAACTCTCTTCCCTAAGAGAGACTCAACTACACTATATAACTCCTAAGATACTTGTCCTTGTCTGATCTTCATGACTGCCAACAAAGAAACTCAGCAATTTCCCAAAGCGACCTATTCCAGTGTATCACAATCTTTACCATTTGAAAGTTTTCCCTACTATCTAACCTGAAGTTTCTATACCCAAGGAAGCTCGTGACTTTTTGTACCATCCACCTTGACACTGAAAACACATTATCTCCTTTCTCTTTGCTATAGATTTTAACATACTGCAAGACTGTTACCACGTTCTTTCTCATTTTTCTCTTCTTTAGACTAAACAACTCTATTTCTTTTGATCTTTTCTCCACAGTCATCTTTCTGAGATCTCTGATCACCCTTATATGGAGGCTATCCAATAATGCACGTTGCTTTTGGAGAGCAATGCCCAAGTTTGGGCACAAGTGCTCCTGCTATTGAGCAGAAAGGCAGCTTCACATATCTAGTAGGCTCCCTTGTTTATACAAACTAGTATGATGTTTGCCTTTTTCACAACATCATGACATTGCTGACTTACATTCAGTCTATGATTCCCTGGAATCCCAGCTACTTTTCTAAAGGAACTGCTGTATAAGCAGTTGTTCACCATCCGCTGCTTGTGGAGTTGTTATTCCTGCTCCAGCATAGTGTCTTCAGCTTATGACTGCTTAATTTAATTCTGGTTTTTTTCCCCTCTAGACTATTTCTCCAACTTGTCAAGATGATTTTGACTATCACTGCAGTCCCTTAATGCTGGCAGTCCCTCCTAACTTGGTGGTATATTTAATCAGTACACTCTCTTTCATCATCCAGGCTCTTAGCAAAAACACTGATCCGAACTGAAATCAGGACTAACAACTGCCAGAGTTTCTTTACTTCAAAGCATATACAGAAACAGGCCATCCCTTGATACTTCCAGATGACATACTGTAGTCCTTCACTATTTTGTTAATTAGGAAATAAGGTATATAAATAATGGAGTGTCCCATGCTTTTTCCAGCATTTTTTCCTCTAGAACAATAAATTTCTTCAGAACATGCATTGTAACATTAGACTTCTCTCGGAACAACTAGATTCCTCAGCTAAACGCACGCGTGCTTTTGGGCAGGGGGACTACAAGTACCTAACAAAGAGTTCTTCTTGCGCTCAGGCATCTCACCAGGGCCTTGCTGTGGAGCAGGGGCTGTTGGACTTGCTTTATGCCAAGATCACCACAGGGTTAAAGTTGATGGAATTTATGCTCAAAAAGCTGCTCCCCCATCAGATGACACTGTACCAGATCCTCCTTGCAGAGATTAAAGCTCTGAGAGACCACTTTGTCCTTTGGAAGAGAGGTGGTGGAATGGGCTTGCCAGAGAGACCAGCTTCCCCAGTGGGTTGCTGCCAGGCTGCCCCTAGACAGCAGAGGAGATGGAGACCACTGACACCTCCATCACGGGACTTTGTCAACACACAGTGGCCCCAGGTGCAGGCAGCATGCCTGGCTGGCAATCGTCTCCTTTGGAGGAGTTTACCCTCTGAGAGTATCTGGCGAAGACTCATCCCTTTGCTTGGCATCTCACTAATGCCCAACTGGTTTGAGGCCTGCTTGGGGCACAGAAGGGCCCCAAGATCCCGTCAGGTGTGTGGGATCCTCCATTTCAACTCAGAGCATACATGATATCTTCCCAGTCGCACACTACTGTACCACAATGCTGACGAGATCATTATGCACCCAGGAGGCAAGGGAAGAGGGCTTACCCAAAAGTCTGAACCCCCAGAATACAATATTTCTGTTTGCTTCCAAGCCAACTGCACTGCTTTCAATTCAAAACATTTTAACTTTCTTCTATTTTATTTCTGTTTGACCAAATAACTTAGTTTGCTGAGATACTGTCATTTACAAAGGTGAATTATGTGTATCATTACCAAGAGAATGCACACAAACTAGTGATATGTAAATATAAGCAATACGTATACAGATAGATAACTTGCATGTAATTATTTATTTAAAAAATAACACTGATTGTGCTCACTTATTACATATAATCTGTTTCCGTCTGGTTTAGATGAACAAATTCTGCAAACTTCATTTTATCCCAGGGGAAAAAGGGGATTTATTTTAACATTTCTCAACATCTTACAGCTCTACATTCCATCCATAATGCAGAGTTTACTCTTGAGAGTATAAGGTTTCTATGATTCACAAGAATTCACTCTAAAAGGGAGTTCAAATTCTTTAGTGATCTGTAACCTGGCCATGCCTTGGTTTCTACAAATACAGATCCCTGGACTTCTATAGGTCAGGATCCTTCCTGCGGCCCAAAAGGATTCTAGTGCACATAGTGGTGCTATGGTTACAAGTCTGATGGTAATCAGGAAAGCAGGGGCCTAGAAGAGGAAGCAGTTGACCCTTGCCTTCATAACGCCAAAAAAAAAAAATTGTATTTTTATATGTGTATATATATATATAGCATATTATGACTAGATTCCTTTTTTTAATTATCATTCTGTTTTATTTTTCAAATTCCTCTCCTAAAGTATCAGTAGAGTAAAGCAAAATACATCGTATAATACCTTCACTAGAATTGGGTAGGCTGCCTAAACAGAGCTCCATCAAGGCACATAGTCTTTTTGTCTCAGCAAAAGGAAAGACTCCTCCTTTGGTTATAAATTTTCAAAATTTCCTAAAAAAACTCTGGGAAACTCTCCACACTTTGACTATGCTTCAATACTCCTTCATTTATAAAGGAGACCAGTGTTCATGATAATTAAATTCACGAGTCATCAAAGTAAGCAATACACATCTGACCACGACAAATCCATCTTTCACCCTCAGTCTCATCAATCTACACATCAATCAACTCATAGACACATACACATTCACAAGAACTTCACACAGAGAGTATCTTAGATTTTCTTAATAAATTAGATGACTGTACTGTTCAGTAAATCAACCTCTTCTTAAACTCTACTACCAAACATAATCTGTAAAATTATTCATGAAATGAAAATCATCAGGGTTATTAACACACATACAACAGCCGCTCTAGAAGAGCTTGACCAACAGACTGCTGGACACAGGCTGAGTATCCCTGTGCTGTTCTTATACCTTTTTCCCATCATCTGATTCTAGCCACTCTCATAAACTGGCAGTGAGCTGGGTGGACCTGAAGTCTGAGCCACTACCACTCTTTTTGTTCTTCTACGTAACTTACAATAAAAACTAGCTTTCACCTCAGTCCTAGTTTAAAGCTAGGTATCCTGAGCTATTCTAATTAAATGATTTAGCTTATCAAGACCTGCCTGTTACTTTTAAGGAGAAAATTAACAAGAATCCTGCACCACACAATGCAATTGATTTGGAGGACCAAAGTGGAATACAGCTTGTGTTTTCACTCATATCTTTTAGGAGGGAGAGAAAAAAAAAGCAAACAAACACGCCTGCAGTCTTTCTATAATTCATCAACTGGTCAATAATCGCTCAAGTATATGCAGACCACTGCCTTGCTCAAGCGAGCACAGAGCAACAATAGTGGTAGGTCTTCAGAAAGC